GGATAGCTAACAGTCGTAAGTGGTTAGATAGATAGATAGATAGATAGATAGATAGATAGATAGATAGATAGATATATAGATAGATAAATAGATAGATAGATAGATAGATAGATAGATAGATAGATAGATAGATAGATAGATAGATAGATAGGTAGATAGATAGATAGATAGATAGATAGATAGATAGATAGATAGATAGATAGATAGATAGATAGATAGATAGATAGATAGATAGATAGATAGGCAGGCTACAGTTTCTCTGCTCTAAATTGGTTCTTTCTTTGATGGTCTGCCTCTGTGACTTTTTTGAACGCTGCCACTCGTCAACCGCTTAGGCGATATTCTGGCACCTTCTTAAAACGTCCGTTCTGATGATAGGGGCCCATCAGCCCATCAGCGTTTATCCCATTTGTAAATCCACCCACTGATAATTGTCCCGCCTTATATTATAATAACTTATCTGGTTTCATGCATGCAAACACATTTATTAATAATTAGGAAGGTGCGTTGCTCGTGCACAAATTTTACAATCTAGCTCTTTATTATTACCCCAAATTGTTTTATAAAGTCACACTGCAATGAACGTGCGTATATCATAATGGGTTTATTGATATGTGGGGTTTAACGTCCCAAAACAACCATATGATACTGAAAGAAGCCGTAGTGGCGGGCTTTGGAAATTTCGACCACCTGGGGTTTTTTAACGTGCACCCAAATCTGAGCACGCAGGCCTACAGCATCACGCTTCCATCGAAACTGCAACCACCGCAGCCGGGATTCGATCCCGTGACATGTGTTCATATTCGCTTTCTTAATGTGAATGCAACCAGGCCTCAATTATTTGTATTCAGTGTCTTAAGAAGCTCATCTTATTCTAAATCTTCTAAAGTGCATACGTTCAGTTTTTATTTGTCGTCAATTCCTGATAATTCGAAACTATATAGCTCAAACAAAACCAGAAAAACATAATTAATCGTTACATTTCATATTTAAATCATAGTAATTGGACGCTGTTGAACTCTGAACAATGCAGCATAATCAACAACCACCCGGTTCCATGAAACTCTAACACCGACTTCTTTACACATACAGAAATATAAAACTATGCTTATTGGGAAGCGCTTACATAGTGGATCTCTCCCCCAATGCGGAAAGGCGAGAACGCTGAAGACCTGTGTGCTCAGATTTGGGTGCACGTTAAAGAACCTTATGGTGGTCAAAATTTCTGAAGCTCTATACTACGGTGTTTCTTATAATCTTATGGTGGTTACGGGGCGTTAAACCCCACACATCAATCGATCAATCAATTCATAAAGCAAAAGCCATTTTTTTTCACTCTTGGCTGGTCGGTGCTACTTGTAACGACGATGCCTTATTGCAAACAATGTCTCATATTTGATATCGGTCATAACGAAAAATTAGGCTTATATTCATTATGCACGACGTCATAAACATGAACCTCAGGCAATCGAGAATGAGCTCATTTGTTCCATGAGTTCTATAGCAAGATCTAATACAGTTATATGCGATTAGGTTCACATATTCCTTGAGCCGAACTAACTTTTAAAATGAAATGAGAGACGTGCGATACTGGTCAAGGCGCAGATTATATTCATGAGAAAACGGCGTGTCGCCACCAAGCGAAAAGCCTGGATGATGTCATGGCAAAGATGCTTCGGCATCCGCCATGGTGCGCCTACACCAGACTCCCTTGCATCGTACGCTGTTCCACTGTCAGCATTCGCCTTTCGCTAGAATCAAGCTAGAAGTGAGTAATGAAAACAGCATTGATATTGCTCCTAGTAAAACGACAAAAAATTTCTGTTGAGTACAATTACTAACGGATTCCATGCTTTAACATACACACTTTGATCAGGTTTGTACTCTAGGGCTGCTTAGCTTGGGAATGGGTTCGATTCTTAGCAGTGACAACCGCATTTCGACGTGAGTAAAAAGCAGAAGCATGTTTGTCCTTGGTTTTTACAGTAGTGGTTTTTAAGTAATTGTTTTTACACATAGGCAGAATGTTTGCATTATTCAATTACTTTTTTACGAGTGGTTGCTTTTAGAGAGATGAATAATATGTTTTGTCTTCGGAACGTTTTATTTGTATTGGAGTCAAGCGCCTGTCTCTCTGTAGATTTTTTTTTGCTTGCGTGACAAACTCTGCGCACTGATGCAAAAACTCATGCAGTACAATGAGGCTCTCAAAGTATCTCCAAAGCGCTTGCTCGAGAATACCACCACAGCTGTCCTACTTCTTTTCTTATGCACTAGCTCACTTCTCATGTAGTTTCATTTCACGCTGTTCCCGCAGTAATTTCGGGGCTTCATTCTATTAAAAATTGAGTTTACGTCAATTTAGCAAACTTAATGCAGCATCGTAACAACAATTCTGGTATAGTACTTAGTTCCGGGCTCGACAGACGACTCGTAAATAATTATTTGCGAAGCATTTCCTACGCAACTTTTGAGCATATATAAATATATCTATCTATCTATCTAGTCGGTTACGTTTCAGAGCTCTCGTTTTCACCCCTTTAACTTGGCGTGAACCAAAATTAGCATGAGAGGATCAAATAGTTTGAAATTAATGACGCGCTGGTCAAGACATGAATAATGTCCCATTCCCGTCGCATACGTTCTCAAACACCTCCCGCCAGACAGTGGCACATACCGACGGGTGGAAATGTTCCTCTGGTATTCGGGAATGTGCCACGTGTGATTGACCCTAATAATCTACCCAGGAACGACGAGAACGCACATGGGCAATTTTAACGTGTGGGCGTTAAGAAATACCTGCCAGTGGTAGTGTCGACCCGACCAATGCAAAGAACAAATGTCAGGGTCCCAGCTGGAATCGAACCCAAGCATTCTGCGGTGAGACGCCAGGTCTCGGAACTACTTTTCAAACAGTCGCTAATATTCGTGAAACGTCAATAATGGTTGCTGTGCTGCCTACCCAATTTTATAATGATTACTTATGAACTCCTTTGATACAGCCGTCACGTCGGGTTAACGTTAATTGTGGTCAGTTGTCATGCACTAAAAGTAATTTAAGTAGCAGGGCCCAGGGCTAGCATCCTCACGAGCATGAGTGCTTCATATCAGCTTCTGAAGGTGCTAATACGCATTGGCATCGTTGCACAAGTGCAAACAACTGGTTATACAAGTGTTATAACTGTTGTTCAAGCACGCGAATTAACAGAAAGGAAGAGAGGACAAGCACTCCTTTCTGTTTCTTCGTGTGCTTGAACGACAGTTATGCCATGCATGTCCAACTAGCCCAACTTTCCATTGTGTGGTTACATAAACATTGGCAACTCTTCAACGTATGTCTTTGCGTGCAACATTTGTACTTTTATTTAGCGTCACTTCTTGACGTGTCGCTTAATAGAAAAATTGCAACATGGTCACCTTCCCTCGGCATGTCGCGCATTAAGTTGATTTCTAGGGTACGTGGGATCTGGCGACTTTTTTTTTCTATCATTTCATTACCCCAGCTTCATCAACCCGCCTGTGAATATGGCACTCATCATACGCTGACTTGTTCAGGGGAAGAAAGTTTAAATATTACGTGAGCTACGTCTCTCAGAGAGCCATAAAAATAGTTCACAACCCTCATTTTGAATTTTAATAATTTGCTTTGCAAATAATTGTTATCAAGGATGCAAATTAAAATTGCATATGGCCGAAATTTTCGTAGCCTGCCTCGACGGCGTCTCTCATAATCATATGGTGGTTTTGGGACGTTAAACCCCCCATATCAGTCATCAATCAACGAATGCTATCAAGAGTGCTTCCACTGGAAACAAACGTTACTGCTTGTGACGAAGCGTTTGATCGAACCAGTAGTTTATGAAGTCGGAACATGTGGCCTCATAATACCAGCTAGGTGACTAGATGTTTAGCAGAGATATTTACGTGATTCAAGTGCACTAATATCTCCGCCATTCCGTGAACATTTTTTGTGTGACCATATAATTTTGTTCAACATTGGCTTTAAACTATATCATGATATATTCGTGTAACTTCTGTTTTAACAAAACGCGACAATTTATCAAATCACCTGAACAATCAGCATAAAAACTAGGTTATGTTTATCGAATAAAAAGATATTCAAAATATACTTGCAATTTTTGGGAACACGTATTCAAACCGTTAGGTCTGCGCCAAGTTGTAATGAAGATAGGACCATCAGAGTAAAGTCTTTTGGCACCAATTTTTTGGAGTGACAGGTACAAAGAACGAATGCCCTGCTAAAACTTATAGACCACAGTACTTATCGTGAATATCTCATTTCGATAGGAGATTTTCCATTTCACTGTCGCAGTTTTCTACAGCTCACCTAACTTTAGCTGGCAGCGTAAACAGCCACCTTCTGCATTGGTAGATTTTTATCGCAACAGTGAGCAATTATCACCACCATATTGCGTAAGAGCGGGCACAAGGCTGGCGCAAAACAAGGTGGTACTCGCCCACGGAGCAAGAGTCCTTGTTGTGACGTTATTTCACCCCCACTGTAATGCTGCAGGTGTTCGTTCTCGAGCCTAATACCAGGCGTCTATAGGCTACAAAGCAACTCGGCCATGAAACAAATAGACATCGTTTTTACTTTAATTTACATTATACTTTGATCCTATGTCTTTCTTTCCAAAACAACAATATATATATCAAAGACGCCATAGTGGAGAGCAATGAAGGTTTGGAACATCTGGTGTTATGTGACAGGCATTGAAATTGCCCGGCGAAAGTGTTTCTAGCAATCTGTCTCCATTGAAATGGGACCCGATCAGCCTATATCAAACCCGTGATTTTCCCGTAAGCGACCGAAAATTATAACCAATTATTCACTGTGTTGCGCTTGGTGGTAATCTGTGTGCGAAACACACACATTGCACTACATGATTCTTCTCAAAGGTTTACAGCCTTCTAATCTATACCTTTATTAAATAGGGCGAATCTATTTCATGCAGGTAAATAAAATTATATATACGTACATTTTCGTTGTTCTAACAGAAGTCCTGCAAGAAAAATATGTTTACTGTAGAACCTTTCAGACCTGTAAGGCAGTAGGCTCGTTAACGCAGCAGTACAAATATTTACGCTTGTTATTGTTATTACAATGCTCCTAGAAAATTATATATGTACTAATACTACCACAGCTTTCTGAACTGATTAATTCATTAGTTGTTAGAGCTGGTTTAATTTCGTACTAATAACAGCAAGCATAACAAAATAGTACGTACAACAAATTGGATTGCAAGTAACAAAACAAAGTGCGCTCGCATCCTTTATCGGACGTAGCCATGAATTTCGATTCCACGCAGTCGCAGTCCGTATTCAACCAGCCCTTCAGCCACACCATTTGGAGGTGAATAGGGTCATAGGTTCGCAGGAACTGCATAAAACAAGAAGAATATTGCTTACAAACGATCATGGTAACTTGGCTCATCAGCGCTGTGAGGCGAAAAAAAATCTTAAAAACCAATAATCCCACCGTTATGTAAGGCTTAAGAGTCAGGCTGCGGCTATATATTGCCCATCCTAGTAAACATGTGAATAATTCTGAGTGATTTTCTTATATTTAACAGTCGATTATCAGCCGTGTATCAACACTCCTCTTAATGCGTCTTGAACCTCGTGTGGTTTTGTATAGGTCCCAGAATTGTAAGCGATTCTAGCTTTTTGTACCTCGCACGGAGTTGCACTGCCTAAAAGATTGGCGCACCTTTGAGCACGCAATTATACCAACTCATGAGATTATGGAGAAGTAACGCCCCAAATTTAAAAAAAATGGGCCATTGTCATCACCATGCCCAAAGTAATAGAGTTTCGATCGTAGAGATGGTGTCATACGTTGAAGCCCTCAAGCAGTGATTCGTCATTATGTGACAATATTTTTTTCATGGGACTCTTGGCGTCAACCTTCTTTGAAGCCAATTATCATGTTAAAGCTTTATGAGGCACCCGAGGCCTTCATCTTACAACTATAAGCACGGAAAAAAATCTATTGCCTTTGTACTCATCTGTTGGGTTGATTATTCGAGGTCAGATGAGAAGAAACACGTTAATTGAATGTGGTGCACCATCTGCCGCATCTATAATTATTTTGTGTCTTCAGAAAAACTCAATCAATCATCTCGAATAAAGTATGTTGGCACTTTGGTTGATCTGTTTTTTTAGTCAGTATAGGTTCTGTGAGCAAATGTAATCAGAGTCCTTCCTGAATAACAATTATTGATTTTGATTTTCATCAAGACCTTTAACTATTATTCTGAAAACAAATCGAATGCACTCAATTTGCTATGTTTAGAATAAAAACAACGCCTCGGGCACGTTTTTCTAGGCCTGAAGTAGATGTAGATGCTAAGCTTGTAGCTCACACCAACCCTGAGAATCGGCCAGGAATCGGTTAGCTTCACAAAAAAAGGAATAAATTTATTTAAATACTAGCGTACAGATTAATAACAAAAATACTGGTTTGTTGTAAATTATTCTGGAAAAAATTTGGATGAAATACTTCCTACTAAAGGAGCAACAAATGATTGATATCAAAGAAATGTTTTCTGTAGCCTACAGCTATGAACATTCTGGTAATGAAGTTACTGAGTAAATCTTTTCGACTGTACAATAAAATCTAGCACAGCCTCGCACACTTTACCGTTGCTGTGCTCTAAGGTATGTATGTGCACCTATGGGTAGTAAATTTGATATTGTCATAGCTAATTGAAGGATTTGGGACGTTATTTCTAGTGATACCTTTCCTAATGTTGAAAACTTTCTACAAGAGATCAAAATATGTTCCACAGTTTCCTCTTCTCCTAAAAAAAAAGTGAGAAGCAAGTCAAGCCTGCTCTAAACAGATAACAAATGAATGGAGGAACGCGATAGTGTACTCAAGTGACTAAAAGTTTCAGGCATAGGTAATGGCATGTGGAAGTTTTCTAGGGAGTCAATTAATCGTTGAAATCCAGGGAATCTTTTAAAGATGGTGTGGAGAATGCTCGCATCAACATTTGCCTGCGAAATCTAGATGCTACTCTAAAAAGGGCTGCAGGCCTCAAGAAGAGAGAGAGAGAAAGATCGGTTTATTTACAGAAAGGCAGAGAGGTCGGCCTGAGCGATAGCTTGCTCACAGCCTGCTACTCCACACTGGCGCCGGGGAAAGAAAGAAGAAAGACTAACGGATGGTGATGGTGCGATAGAAAGGTGAGTATATATCCCTGAAGATAGTGCGCAGTTCGGTAGCATTCATTCTTTGACTTCAGTGCTCTTTAGTATCTTTCCTTCATTATTTTTTGCAATTTCGTGTTTTATTTGCGAACCATTTCTTAGTAAACTGCGGCGAATATCTATCTATCTATCTATTTATCTATCTATCTATCTATCTATCTATCTATCTTTCTATCTATCTAACCACCTACGACTTTTAGCTGTCCTGACCGTTTGAGTAATGGCATCGATACCAAACTTCGTAGGGCATAACATGACTTTAGGGCAAGCGTATTTGGTTAGTCTTAACATCAAAATCATTGTATGTATGTCGTAAATGTCATAATTTACATTTCATTATCTTGCTGATTTTTCGGTCGTCTCGTTCACATGGCATGTGGCAAAAGTGGTATGGTATGACATGATTGCATGGCGAACACAAACGACAGACCTTAACATGGAAATTATGACATGCGTGTCATGTACAACATCAATACAGCCACGCTCATGATGCGATCACGGGAATTTCGCTAGCGTCACATAAACAAAATTTGGCATTATCTTACGTGAATAGAAGACAAAGATATGTGACTGGTTAAAACACGATACTCATGAGATGCGTGTCATGTTACAACATGATTACATTCCACGCTCATGACGCGCTGGCGGCCGTTTCGCTAGCTTCACCAATACAAAATTTGGTTTCATGGGACGCGAATGAATGACGAAAGTATAAGACTAGTGTAAACATGATAAAAACGAGGTGCGTGTCATGTAACAACATGACTACATGCTACGCTCATCATGCGCTCGTGGTCATTTCGCTAGATTCACATGTACCGAATTCAGTATTACCTGGCGTGAACGGATGACGTAAGTCAATGACACATCCAAACATGATTATCACAACATGCGTGTCATGTAACAATATGGCTACATGCCGAACTCATCACGAGCTTGCGGCCATTTTGCTAGGTTCACACAATTTCGTATTACATGACATCATTGGATGACGAAGGTGACTGGTGAAAACATGATAATCATGAGATCCGTTTCGTGTGACAACAAAACTGCATGATGATTGATTGATTTGTGGGGTTTAACGTCCCAAAACGACCATATGAAAATGAGAGACGCCGTAGTGGAGGGCTCCGGAAATTTCGACCACCTGGGGCTCTTTAACGTGCACCCAAATCTGAGCACACGGGCCTACAACATTTCCGCCTCCATCGGAAACGCAGCCGCCGCAGCCGGGATTCGAACCCGCGACCTGCGAGTCAGCAGCCGAGTACCTTAGCCACTAGACCACCGCGGCGGGGCACATAACTGCATGCCACAGTCAAGGCGCTCATACATTTCGACGTGACGCGGTGCGCGTGCTTACTGGCGTTCATTTCGTCGCGTCACGCCGGCGTTGCCACGCCAAGCGCGTGTGCTGCCGTATACTCGCAGGCACGCACCGCACTGCGTTGCTTTGACGCATGCAGATTTCAGCACGTCCGGCGTCCCTCCGTCACCAAAACGGCAGACGCAGTGCTGTCTGCGTAACGCATCGGCGCGAAATGAAGCATGTCGCATTTCGCGCCGCTTCCTATCGGGCCGTGCCAATGGACGCTGGTCGCGTCGGTCGCGCCATGCGTGAGACTATCGAGTTCTCACGTTTTGCTAACGCATAGTGTCACTGTTCCCTGCGTTCGTGCGCGTCAACGTCACGTTGGAGCATATTGGACCCTTCATGATGCACTCGCAGCTATTTCTCCATCTCCACTTATACGAAATTTGGTGTAACGTGACGTTAATGGATGACGAAGGTATATCACTAATGCAAACATGATGGTCCTGGCACGCCTGTCATGCAAGAACATGACAACATACCACGTTCATAGCGTGGTATAGGTATATACTATATATTAAATTTTATATACTAAATTTGGCATCACGAGACGTGAATAGATGACGAAGATAAACTACACACTCAAACATGATAATCAAGACACGGAAGGCTTGTACGGCATAATTTACCTCCACCTCGTAGCCTTGTGGTAATTTTGAAGTGACATATGAACCTTCCGAATTCATGCTTCGCATATCATCAATTCCAACTTTACGTCACATCTGGCAATTTTTTTCAGTGTTTTTTGTTACTCCTACATATTAAAGACGAAATATTTCTTTGCGAACTTCAGTGACTTTGAGCGTATCTATCTATCTATCTATCTATCTATCTATCTATCTATCTATCTATCTATCTATCTATCTATCTATCTATCAATCTATCTATTTATCTATCTATCTATCTATCTATCTATCAACCCTATCAACCTATCTATCTGTCTATTTATCTATCTATCTATCTATCTATCTATCTATCTATCTAGCTATCTGTCTATCTATCTATCTATCTAGCCTCCTACGACATTTAGCGCTCCTAGCCATTTAGATAACTGTGTCAATGCCAAACTTGGTATGGCATAGCATCACTGTGGGAAGAACGTATTTGACTAGTCCTAATATGAAATATTGACATGTAGGTCATAAATCTCATGATTTGCCTTTCATGGTCCTACAGCTCATGCGGTAGTTTCGTTCACATGCCATGTTGCGAAACTGGTAGGGTATAGCATGATTGCATGGCGAACACAAGCGACAGATGCTAACATAAAAATTATGACATGCGTGTCATGTAACAGCATGACTACATGTCACCCTCACGATTCGCTCGCGGCCGTTTCGCTAGCGTCACATATATCAAATCGGGTAATACGGTACGTGAATGTATGACGAAGGTATGTGACTGGTGCAAACATGATAATGATCAGATGCCTGTCTTGTGAGAACGTGACTACAAGCCACAACCAAGGCGCCAATACAATACGACGTGACGCGGTGCGCGTGCTCATTAGCGTTCATTTCGTCGCCTGACGCCGGCGTTGCCTCGCCAGGCGCCGCTTTTGCCATATACTCGGAGGCGCGTACCACGCTGCGCTGCTTTGACGCATGAGCAGTCCAGCGTGTCCGGCATCCCTCTGTCACGAAAAGAGGCAGGCGCTGTGTTGTTTGGGTAGGGTGTTGGCGCGAAGTGCAGCAGCTTGCTTTTGGCGCCGATTGCCATTGGGCCGTGCGGACTTAGGCTGGTCGCGCCG